TTAAGCGTAAAATGGCTGTTTGAAAAAAGGAGTCGGTACTCCCTAGCGGAAGCAAGCTGCTTTGAAAGCTGTTTCTGGGCTGGGTCACTGTGCATTGCAGATCTGGGGGCGGGGGGCAGGGGGGGGAGATAAACTAGTCAGAACTTTTTTCCTGGTGCATCATATCTTTATGTCCCTTGGGGATTCCTTTGAGAGGCTTTAGTCCTTTAGGTTATTAGGAACATCCAAAAGTCTTCTGGGGAAAAGTTTATTGTGTAGCCAACTTGAATGAGGAAAGGATTAAATATGATGCGTGAAACAACGTATGATCGTTGCTTGCTGGACGGCTTGTTTAGTTCATGTCTCAGAGTGCTTTAAGGAATTTAGCTGTATAAGAAAAGCAGAAGTGGAGACTTCTTTTAATGTTGAAATCTTGTAGTGAAGCACTACACTGATCCTGAATGAAAGTCTGCATCATTTTTTAGTTTTGTGGTTCTCTTGTTAAATCTTATTTAGGGATTATGTTAAATGGGGAGAATAATTGTATCTTCTATCAGACTTTGCAATCTTGTGTATAGTCTGCACAAGCTCTGTGGAATTTATTGGGACTTTTGAATAAATATACAGAGGAAGTGTGATCCCATGTCAGTTTGTAAGTCTAGCTTATATTTCCACACAGTTGTCATTTAGTGTTTATTATTTAGTTTATACACTTTCTGTAACTACTGTCTTAAGTGCTTATAAGTTACTATCAACTTCACTGTAATTTAAAAACAACGCCAATGGATTAAGGATAGTAGCTTCATGTAGCAGAAAGTATTATCTTCTTAGCACAGCAGAAAACTAATGCATACTTCCAAGTTTATCATTTCTCCCCAGCCTCTGAGTTAGTACTAGAGCCTGGAATAGAGCCAGTTTTTTACATGCTTATACATGTCCTTCCAAATGTGACATAGTGGAAAAATAATGCAGCAGTGTGGTCTCAGAATTTTAGACAGCTGAAGAATCTGAATTAAGATTCTTTGTCATTAGTGAAATTTTTCATCCTATAATGTGGTCTTGATCTATGCAGTTAGTTATGATTTTTAAAAGAGAAAATTAGGAATTTACTACGTGAAGTATAGTCTGAGGACCAAGAGTGGGAACAGGTACATGAGGAAAAAATATCAGCAAAAAACGTTTGTCACTGGCAAGTTTAAACTATTATAAAGTTATTTCTGGTTTTCTGTAAATACTTTATATAGTGGGAGAAAATGAGTTTAAATAGTAGAATTGTTATGCTTGTGATCAGCTCTGTTAGTGTTTAATTCTCCAGCTCAGTGTACTCAAAACTTACCAGAATGTAAATTACACGTACACAGCATTGTCACACTCCTTTCCTAAGACTGGATATTTTACAATTCTTTTTTATTTTGCATATACGTTCAAAATACAGCAATTATTCTCAAACTTTATAGTGCACTTAGGTTTAAATTATAGGTATTATATTCCTATAATCAGTCATCCTGTATCGTTGTATTTTCTGGTTACTGCAAACCTTACCCTATTTAGACAGGCAAGGATCTCTGTTGTTGTAGTGTTTTGTTTTTTGTTTTTAGTATGAGCTGTTCTTCCTCTGATCATATATTCATTCTTCCCATCACACATTCATTTGCAATATAGCTTGTTGTAAAATTAGATTGAGCAACTATCAGTTACTATCTTTTCGTTTGTCTCCTGTTTCAGTTAATTTCTATAATTCTGATGAGGAGGCAAAGTTGTCTAAGCAATTTTAATGATAATGGTTGATAGAAATCATGAAGAGAAAAATGAAGTTTATCTCAGATCCAAATAATTTTTGTTTACCATTACATCTGAACTGATAAA